AACCGCCTGGCTGCTTTTTCTCCTCATTTATAAATCTGCATCAGAGACTAGAGGGGAAGGGGAAGGGTTCTGGCATGGCGGGGGTGGGGGGGGCTGTTTGATGGGCACAGTTTCACCCATCTCTCTGGGATGTCAGACATCTAATCATTCTTCTTTGTTTTGTGTTGTTTTTTTAAGATTTATTTATTGATTTTAGAGAGAGTGTGCGTGGGTACATGGGGTGGGGCCAGAGGGAGAGGGGAGGCAGACTCCCCACTGAGCACAGAGGAGGGGCTGGATCTCATGATGCTGAGATCAAACCTGAACTGAAACCAAGAGTTGGATGCTTAACCAACTAAGCCCCCAGGCACCCCAACACCTAATCATTCTTTACTGGTTGGTGCTTTTGTGGGTATTTGGAGGTGGCCTCCTCCCCCTTCTAGAGCTCCCCCCAGCAGTTCCCTTGATGTAGGCAATTGCTCCGCAGGTTGACGGCTCTGCGCCTTGGCTGGGATCAGCACACTCCTCAGAGAGTTCCCAGGAGTTCAAGTCCACAACAGCCCCATTGTGGGGAGAGTGTAGACAGCTCCAGAAAGCCCATTTCACTGTAGACTGGGTATCCCTGGCCAGCATCTGACCTTTTGGCTTTGATTTTTCTAAGAACTGTGGCAAAATTTTAAACCAGTTCCTTTGAAGTCACCTTCACAGGGCTTGAACAGCGCGGTGGCGGCCAAGTCTGGCAACAATCTCGCAGCTGTCCTCTAAAGAATCGTCCCTGGAGAGCTTCATCCCAACCTCATCACACTCATCTGCTTCATGTAGCCTGGACACAAGCAATGCACTGAGCATCACAAAACTGGACTCAGGGTTTCTTGGCCGGTTCCACATAGATGGTCTGGAGCCGACTGCTTATGGCCTTTGGAGCTTGACCAACATTGCAAATCACCAAAAGAGTCCTATCTAACATCGGGTGACCCAGCTCGAAGCCTCTCTGAAGCACCTGTCTGTGCTGCTACAGCATTAGCTGCTGCTCTTGCATTTCCCTGGGGGAGTCTTCAAGGCGGCCGACGGCTTCTTGCGCCCAGGCTCCATTTCTTCCCCTGGGAAGTCATTGCAGCTTCATGGTTCACTGTGTTCGGCTAATAAACTCCACCCCTCAGTTCCTGAGTTATCTAGTATAAACAATTTAAATCTCTCTGTGCCACGCTTTCAGCATTTTTGAAGACATAATACTTAACTCACTGGATTGTCTGAAGATTAAATGAAAGCCCATTTGTGCAGTACTGACCCCAGTGCCCGGTCTATAGGAGGCACTCGGTAAAGGGTGGCTTAAAAACGTTGTCTTTGGGGCACCTGGCTGGCTCAGTCGGAAGCGCATATGACTTAATCTCAGGGTGATGAGGTCAAGCCCCACGCTGGGCATAGAGTTTACTTAAAAAAAAAAAAAGATAAAAAAAGTTGTCTTTGTGAGATGGATCAGCCTGTTTGAAGGAAGACTTTTTGTGAAGCTCTGGGGAGAAGTAAAGCAGGGTTCATTCTGTGTACTTGAGGTTTTGGTTCAAGAGCACCCTTCTGTAGCAGGGCAGAAGCAAGGTCCCATTGACATATGCATGACCCACACAGAATGTTTTGGTGAAAAAGCAAAATAAACCAGAGATATTTTGACAGATCAGTCTGCTTTATATATATTTAGTTTTTGAAGGATCAAATCTTGTCTCTTTATATATGATAAAGTGAAACAATGATAACTAAGTATAAAGCTGCCCTTTGGGATTGAGTAGGAAATTATCCTGGTAAAACATGGCCTATGTGAGATATAGCTGAGTTAAGAGATAGAAAAAAGCTCCAGTGTTCACATTTTGAGCACAGTTGTTCTACCAACTTTGAATTTTTTTCTTCAGATTCAGTCTTTATCTCATCTTCAAGAATATTCTATGAGATTTTGCTAAATATTCTGCCAAGTTTCACAGATAGTATTTCTGAAAAGGTTCCATCTATAAAACCTGTAACCTTAACTTTAATAGTCATGAATGTGGTTTAATAAACTCCATTTTAGGAGAGCCACCTGCCCAACAGGCCTCTCTGTACCCTCTCTTTTATTCCCAGCAGGTATATCTAAAGTAACCCAGCATGGACTTTCAAGTTCTTTTAAGAATCCAGTTCCCAGCATTTAATGTTTTTATGCTCTGTTTTTTGAGGTAGTAGTTTAAATATATGGAAACCAGATGCATTTAAGAATGGTCTAAAAGAACATTCATTAGACCTGAAGAAGTATTTAGGCACCCACCTGTGACCCAATTTAGGAGAAATTATACAGCTAAAAGATTAGAACAGGCTGATGGATTCAAGTCAATTCTTTGAGAGTGGAAATGCTGAGTTCAATTTAACGTATATTACTGTAATCATGACAAAAGCATTAACATAGTAATATTGGTCCAAAATATTTTTTAAACAGACTTAGTTTGAGTTCCTGCATTCCTGTTGATGAAAGGGATTTTCTTAACGGGCAACATAGGTGTTCTAAAAACAAAACCCTGATGATGCGGACAACTGTGGGACTGAATTCACATTTTACATGTGTATGTGATTCAGGCTTTTGAGTGACTGTTGCGACACTGGCTTGTTCTAGAATATGGTTGAATACTAATCCCCGTAGGGTATTTAAAACCAAGTAGGAAAGACATATCTGTGTGTTTTTTTGTATTTTCTTTTTACATTAGCTCTCTCCTATGAGAGGCCCAGAAATAGTCCTAGAAGAGACAGAGCCTGGAAGAAACTACTTCTCTGCTCCCTCTCCCGACCCTCCACATAATATTTGGCATATAAACTTGTCTAGGACAGGAGGAAGTGCTTAGAAATATCTTTGGAATCTGAAAATAGGAAAAGAAGTCAGAAGACATGAAGGCTGAGAGAAGTAGAAGTTGAGAGAGGGATTCTCAGCTACCTTGTCTGTGTGGTGGACACAGAGAAGGGTGAGTTGGAGGGTGAATAGCTGGATAGATCTACTTTTCCTCATATGCTCAAGTCCATCTCAACAGGTCAGGTCACACTTTGGATGCATCCTCTTGTAAATGGCTGAATACATCTATCCTAATTAATCAGAAAATGAGAGGAGCAAAACTGTCCTTGGGGGTAAAACAAAAGAATTGTGTTTGAAGTCTGATTTGGCTGCTTAGTGATTATGTGAGCTGAGAAAATCCCTCAGTATCTCTGAACTTCAATTTCATCCAGTATAAAATGGATGCATTAATACATACTAAACAGGGTTTTTGCTAAAAATCAGTAAGATAATATGTAATACAAATTTTCAGACAAACAGTGAACATTTGGACACATTACATGTTATTTTCCTCATTACACAGGAGGTTTCTTCAATATAAAAGATACAGTGTAAGTTTCAAAGATCGGGATGTCCAGATGGAATATCCATCAAACATATTAGAAGCATCTTAACCATCAGCAGACCAGGCTCTCCTATGCAAATTTGGCTGCCTCAAAAGAACTTCATCCAGACCCAAAGGCTATTCAATAGTCAAATGGGAATGTAGGGAATGCTACACTGGAGAGCTCAAATCCCTCCTAAAGACAGTCAAATTCAAATTCATTAGAAATAAACTGAACTGGTGTCTTCTTCCTGCCTTGTCTTCGGCGTTTTTGTTCTCAGAGCTGCCGACAGCAAGATGTCTTCAGGAAATGCCAAAATTGGGCATCCTGCCCCCAACTTCAAAGCCACGGCTGTTATGCCAGATGGCCAGTTCAAAGACCTCAGCCTATCTGACTACAAAGGAAAATACATTGTGTTCTTCTTTTACCCTCTTGACTTCACCTTTTTGTGCCCTGCGGAGATCATTGCTTTCAGTGACAGGGCAGAAGAATTTAAGAAACTCAACCTTCAAGTGATTGGTGCTTCTGTGGATTCTCATTTCTGTCACCTGGCATGGATCAACACACCCAAGAAACAAGGAGGACTGGGACCCATGAACATTCCCTTGGTATCAGACCCCAAGCGTACCATTGCTCAGGACTATGGAGTCTTAAAGGCTGATGAAGGCATCTCGTTCAGGGGCCTCTTTATCATTGATAATAAAGGTATCCTTAGGCAGATCTCGGTAAATGACCTTCCTGTCGGCCGCTCTGCGGATGAGACTCTGCGACTGGTTTCAGGCCTTCCAGTTTACTGACAAGCATGGGGAAGTGTGCCCAGCTGGCTGGAAGCCTGGCAGTGATACCATCAGAAGAGCAAAGAATATTTCTCTAAGCAGAAGTGAGCGCCGGGTCATTTTAGGGCTGGGCTGCAGTGGGTAGCCATGAAAACAAAATCTCTTTTGTACTATTGTCATGCTTAGAACATAAGACTTTAGACTCTGTGCAGATGTGGTATGGGGACAGGACAGGCCTTTCCTGCAGGGGTTGGGGAGGCCAGCCTTTCTTCCTCTGGAGAGAATGGCCTGAGCTGTTATAGGGCAGGCCAACTCTTACATACAGTAGTAGGGCATCACTTTTTGTCTTTTGTTGTTTCTATTAAGCTTGAACTGAGGAAGAAAAAAAAAAAAAGAAAGAAACTGAACTTCCCAAATAAAAGATGGTGGCAGGCTGCATTTGGCCTGGTGGTGCTGAGTTTATGGTTCTCTGTTATATGGTCAGGTAGAGAGAGATTTATAGCAGAAACCAGGAATGTCTAAGTTTTACAACCTCCTTTACGTGATATGGAAACAGAGTAATCCTAAGCAATTGAGAAATAGCTGGCTTCCTGTTAACACACAGTGAACTAATTGATTAATTTATTTCAGAATGAAGTTCTTATTCTGCCACTCGATACCTTACAAATCTGGTCCAAAACCATCTTTTGATTTTCTTCTCCAGCTTTTTCTCCTCTGTGCTACTCTGGCCAAATGAAACTACTCATTGTTCCCATGTGCGTTTTGCATGTTCCCATGTGCGTTTTGCATGTTCCCACTTACGTGTCCTTCCTTCACCGGGACTGCTTTTTCTGCATTTTATCAAACTCAAATACTACTCACCATTTAGGACAAAATCAGGTGTACCCTCTGCTTCATCTAAACAAACGTTTTATACATAATAGTCCTCCTTCATGATATATGTTCTTTCCCTGTTGCAGACAACAGAATCCACTCCAACTGGCTGAAAGAGAAAGAGATTTATTAAGGGAGGCAGAAAATCTCAGAGTCACTGAGACAGCAGGAGGAGCAGTAATTAGGCTAATGGCCACTTCTCAGGATACCACAGTACTTGCTTGGTACAGGGACTATTGCTACAACCCACCCCGTATCCTTACTGCCTCTCCTGCCACTTAAGCCATCAGAACAAATATTTAGGACCTCACCTATGGCTTCCATTGCTTGTTTCTGAGCCAAAGTTTTACACAAGCAAATTTTAAAATGAGTTATTTTAATGCTCTCGTTGTCCCAGATTTGACCAATAGTAGCCTCTTTAAGCTGGCATCCATGTCCTTTGACATGTCTCCATTATTCTTTGAGCACTTTCTTATTTTTTTGGCAGGACAAAGTGTTCTGGATTAAAGAAAATGAAGAAACATGACAACTGAATGCAAAATGAATTCTGGCCGAGTTCCTGGACCAGAAAATAAAGTTTTTCTATAAGTTATTACTAGAGCAATTGGCCAAGTTTGGTTAGGCCTGTGGATTAGATAATAGTATTGTATCAAAGTGAATTTCTTGATTTTAACTGAGAGCATATTCTTGTTTTAGGGAAATCCACACTGCTGTGTTTAGGGGTAAATGGGTATCATATCTGCGACCTCTCAAATGATATTTTGGAAAAACTAACAATAGAGAATTATATATATATGTATATATGCATGTTTTTGTATATATGTAACATATATGTAACACATCTCTCTCGTGAGGGTGATTGATAAAATAAATGTGGCCAAATGTTACCATTTGGGAAATCTTGGATATGTGGAATTTTTTATACTGCTTTTGCTATTTGTCTGTAATTCTGAATTGTGTTAAAATACAAAATTTAAGAAAATAAGCAAACAAACAAACAAAAAAAAGATCTTGCCTTTCTAGGGAGAATAAATCATCTGGAAAGAAAAATGGAGAAAAGAATCCAAGAAGGGAAGCTATTATAGTTGTCTGAGGACAAACGGCCATGACATGGACCAGGCAGTGGGAGCAGTGGATATATTGGGTTGTGAACAGACTCAAGATATAAAGTAGAGGTGGAACTGACTGGACTTGGCTATGGGTTCTATAAGGGCTGAGAAAAGGGACACTTGAAGGAGGACTCCTGGGTTTGCGGCTTCAATAATTTGATGAATAGTAGTGTCATTCACAGGTAGGAGAACCTGAAGAGGGAAATTTTGCAGAGAAGGGGAAATATTTGGACATAAAAATTTGAGATGGGCATTAGTCATCCAAGTGGAGATATGTGACATACATGAGCAACTCAGGGGAGAATTTTGTGCTGGGATAAAACTTACAGCGGTGGCCAAAATAAAGATGGTATTTAAAACCATCGAACTAGATAAAATTACCTTGGAAGTGAATGTGGAGGGAGAAGACAGCCTTGAAGGCCTACCATATTTCAGAGTGGATACATAGGACCTGCCCTATCATTTATGGGGTTCACTGCAAAATAGAAATGCAGAGCCCTTTGTTCAAAAATTATTAAAAATTTCAATATAGTGACAACAGAGCATTAAACCAAATTTGTGGCCCATCTAAGGGGGGGCAGGCAGCCCTATGTGACTCCCCAGCCCTGTACACAAAGAAGGAAGTTCCAGTAAAGGATATTGAAAGGGAACATTCAGAGAAATAAAATAAAATTAAATTAAATTAAATTAAATTAGCCCCCTCGCTCTCGCTCAAATAAATAAATAAATAAATCTTTAAGGAAAAAAAGAATATTGGGTAGAGAGACCAATAGAATAAAGCAAAGGTAAAGAAGCAGAAAGAATGAGTATAATCAATCTGTTTGAGGAAGTTTTGCTCTGAAGAAAAGCAGAGAGATTAAGTGATCGACGGAGGGGAAGTTGAGTTTTTATTTTTAAAGTGAAAAATGGAACAGTTTGTAGGCTGATGGTCAGAATCCAGTAAAAAGGGAGGGAGTGGTGATGCAAGAGAAAGAGACCTCTCCGTTTAACTGGTTGACTTCTCTAGCAGTTTCTCTGACTGCTTGGATACAGGCACAGATGTGTTTTGGGGGGAAATTCTCCATTCTACACAGATTGTGAGTGGCAGCACTGACTATAATTTGTTCTGGACTATCTTTCCAGGGATGCTTGTGTAGTAAAAGGGCTCAGAAAATAGAAATAAGAGACTCTCTCCCTCCAGAGTAAAAGGCTGGCATGCTTACTCTCCAGCATAATAAAGATCATGTCTTGAATATAATGGGCATGTTTCCTGCTCATTACACCTGATTCAGGTTCCCTAAGATTAGGGCTCCTCTCCTCTAATGCCGCCCACTGAACGTGCAGGCGTCATCCAACTTTTTGGTGTCACCCTGTGCGAACTGGGGCTCGGGGACCCGGAGGAAAAATGCTGAGAATCTGGCTACCACTATTGCTGAGGAATAAAACTCTTCTTTACCTCTGCTCCAGGAGGCTGTCTTCTGCCAGCATCCATGAAATCGTGGCAGGTTAACTGGTTAACTTGCAAGTAATGAACAGAGTTAGACCCTAAACGGTTCTTGCCAATGAGCTCCAAAGGAAGCAAGAAGCCAAAGAGTTGAAGGTGTTTTTAAGAGAGGGATTAAAATCCTGGGATCATAGACTCTAACCTGAAAAAATAGGCAAGTGAGGACAGAAAAACAGTGGTGAATAGTAAATCTGTTTGCAAGGGAGCATATGTGTGTGTGCCAGGGCGTGGGGTGGGGGGTATGTGTTGCAGAGCTTCATTTGTTGGAAGAATTGTTTGGATGTGTCATCTTTGGGTAGAGATAATATATTATAAACGCAAGTCATGCTTGAAATTAGTATTTCCGAGGTGGCACAGTTGCTGGAGGCAAGAAGGTCCGGGTAAGTGGCTCAGGGTGGGTGAAAAAAAGTTTGGGGAACATTTCTGAGAATGTCTCAGAGCAAGGAAGGTGTTCAGGCTTTGATCGTAAACTTACCGTGCCAGGTCCCAGACGATTTCTCCTTGCCACAGCTCTTAAAGCCAGTGGTGGGAGTGGTCGGGGGAATGTCCCGTTTTTCTCTTTGACAGCGCTCCCTCATTGATTCGTGGCCCTCAGCCGCCCTGCTCTGTGCCCAACATATCACCTGGGCTCCTTGGCCTTCAGCCTTCTTGTGGAGTCAGCCAATGAAGAGCACTCGCTGAAGTCTGGAAGACAGGAGAGGGCAAAGAATTTAGTGTAGTAGTTTCCCTCCTCCATTTCCTCCTTGGTGTTGCTGGAGCTCTGCTTTGTGCCTACATCTCTCCAAAATTATAGTTTCTGTCAATCGGCCCCTCTTCCATGACCTCAGCTCTTAACAGAGCTCTAACACTTTTTCCTCATTTGTCCCTTCCCAGACCTGTGAGCCATAAATCCTTCCAAATATTGCTAGTTCCTATGTGCCTCAAAATCACGTGTTCTTCCCTTAACCCTGCCACACCTCAGTAAACAGCTCCTTCATTAGAAAGCCTCCTCCAAGTTCCAAGTTCTCAGCTGCGCCGTCTGTTACCTGCTGGGACCCCAAGTGATGCAGTGGAATTGGGCAGGGAGTTAGTTCATGGAGTGGGGTAGACAGAGAACATTCTTAACAGAAATAGAAGACACAGCTGTGTAGGGTGCTTTATCTGTCAGGTTTTGGTGTCAAGATTATGGCTAATTTACTAAAAATGCATTAGAAAGCTTTCATGCAGGCGCCTGGGTGGCTCAGATGGTTAAGCGTCTGCCTTCGGCTCAGGTCATGATCTCGGGGTCCTGGGATCGAGTCCCGCATCGGGCTCCCTGCTAGGCGGGGAGCCTGCTTCTCCCTCTGCCTCTCTCTCTCTGTCTCTAATGAATAAATAAATAAAATCTTTAAAAAAAAAAAGAAAGCTTTCATGCTTTTCTAGGAACTTGAGTAACATACGAATTTCACCACGAAAAGTATTTGCTTTTTGGAACTTTGAAAGAAGTAATTGATTCAAATATCTGGACTGAGTATTTTTTGGAAGTAATTTTAGAAATGTTTCACAATTTATGTTATTGTTATTTTCTTCTGTTTTCCAATTTCATTGTGGGTCAAATTTGACATTTATGTTTTTCTTTCAAAAATGTCCATTTAAATAGAGATACTCAAGTATGTAAGCATGTGCTGTGTATAGTTCTCATTCAACACATTCATCAAACACTTAGAGGATTTGGGGGTGCCTGGATGGCTCAGTTGGTTAAGCGGCTGCCTTCGGCTCAGGTCATGATCCCAGGGTCCTGGGATCGAGCCCTGTATCGGGCTCCCTGCTCGGCGGAGAGCCTGCTTCTCCCTCTCCCTCTGTCTGCCACTCTGCCTACTTATGCTGTCTCTCTCTCTCTCTCTGTTAAATAAATGAATAAAAATCTTAAAAAAAAAAAAAAACTTAGAGGATTTTATGTTCCAGGCACTATTCTAATTTAAAATATCTATATCTAGACTTTTCCTCTTCTCATTGGGTTTCTTTCAGTTGTATTTGATTATACATACCTATTTTTTTCAATATTTCTAGGAATTAGTTCTTGGATTTATTAATCTGAGGAAATTTTGCTTCATCTGCTTTTATATTCATTTATTCATATTTTATTTTTATGATTTCCATATTCTTGCTTTATAAATTTGTATTCTGTTTCTTAATTTTCAAATGACCACAATTTTCAATTACTTTTCTAAAATTTTTAACTTGTTTCTATTTCCAAAATTAAAAATAGCTGTCATATAAAATTAAAGACAAAGAAGGTTAACATTATGTACTTCCAACAATGAAACTTAACATTTTAATATATATCCTTTCAATATTTTTTTCTCTCTGTATGTGTCAATATTTTTTGGTTTTTGTTTTGTTTTAATTTTTTACAGAATTCAGAAAAGGCCATTTTCTGAAGGCCATTTTTTTTTTTAATTTTTAAAGTAATCTCTACACCTAACATGGGGCTCAAACTCACAATCCCTAAATCAAGAGTCTACCACCTAAGCCAGCCAGGCACCCTTTTCTTTTAAAACTATTTAGTTATGGGGAGCCTGGGTGGCTCAGATGGTTAAGCGTCTGCCTTCGACTCAGGTCATGATCCCAGGGTCCTGGGATTGAGCCCCACATCGGGCTCCTGGCTCAGCGGGGAGCCTGCTTCTCCCTCTCCCTCTGCCTCTCTCCCTGCTCATGCTTTCTCTCTCTATCTCTGTGTCTCAAATGAATAAATAAAATCTTAAAAAAAACCCAAACTATTTAGTTATAATTTTTTTATCTGAGTATAGTTGAAACACAATGTTACATTAGTTTCAGGTGTATAACTTTGTGATTTAGTAAGTTTATACATTATGCTATGTTCACCATAAGTGTACCTAACTATCTGTCCCATTATATCTCTATTATAATATCATTCACTGTATTCCTTATGTTGTGACATTTATTCCTATGACTTATTCATTCCATAACTGAAGGCCTGTATCTTCCACTCCCTTTCACCCATTTTGCCCCACACTCCACTTCCCCTGACCCTATCAACAATCATCAGTTTGTTCTCTGTATGTATAGGGCTCATTCTGCTTTTTATTTATTCTTTTGTTTTGTTTTTTAGATTCCACTTATGAGTGGAGTCATATTATATTTGTCTTTCTCAGTATGACTTATTTCACTTAACATAATGCTCTCCAGGTCTGTCCATGTTGTTTGAAATGGCAGGACCTCATCCTTTTTTACGGTTGCATAATATTCCCATGTATGTATATACCACATCTTCCTTATCTATCCATTGAAATCTTCCTTATATATTGATGGACACTTTGGCTACTTCCAAATCTCAGCTATTATAAATAATGCTGCAATAAACATAGGAGTGCATATATCGTTAAAAAATTAATGTTTTAATTTTCTTTGGGTAAATACCCAGTAGTGGAATTACTGGACCTAATTTTGATTTTTTGAGGAACCTCCATATTTTTTTTCTATAGTGGCTGTACCAATTTACAGTCCTACCAACAGTGCACGAGAGTTCCTTTTTCTTTACATCCTCACCAACACTTGTTATTTCTTGTCCTTTTGATTTTAGCCATTCTTGACATGTGTAAGGTGATATCTCATTGTGGTTTTGATTTACATTTCCCAGATGATTAGTGATGTTGAGCATCTTTTCATGTGTCTGTTGGCCCTCTGTATGTCTTCTTTGGAAAAATATCTCTTCAGGTCCTCTGTGCATTGCTTAATTGAATTGTTTATTTGTTGGTGTTGAGTTGTATAAATTCTTTATATATTTTGGGTATTAGCCCCTTATTGGATATGTCATTTGCAAATACCTTCTCCCATTCAGTAGGTTGTCTTTTTGTTTTGTTGATGGTTTCCTTCACCGTGCAAAAGCTTTTTATTTTGATGTAGTCCCAATAATTTAATTTTGCTTTTTTCTTGCCTGAGGAGACATACCTAGAACAATACCAACAGCATTTTTTACAGGACTAGAACAAATAATCCTAAAATTTTTAAGGAACCACAGAAGACCTCAAATAGCCAAAGCAATCTTGAGAAAGAAGTACAAAGCCAGATTTTAAGATATACTACAAAGCTATTGTATACTGCAAAACAATATGGTACTGCCACAAAAGTAGGCACATAAAACAATGGAACAGAATAGAGACTCCAGAAATAAGTCTACAATTACTTGGTCAATTAATCTATCACAAAGGAGGCAAAAATGCAGTGGGGGAAAGACAGTCTCTTTAGTAACTGGCACTGGAAAAATTGGATGGCCACATGTAAAAGAGTGAAACTAGACCACTTTCTAACACCATACACAAAAAATAAACTCTAAATGTATTAAAGATCTAAAGTGAGACCTGAAACTATAAAAATCCTAGAAGAGAACACAGGCAGTAACTTCTCTGACATTGGCCTTAGCAACATTTTTCTAGACAGAGTTTTAAACTTAGTACTTTTTGATTATTAGTAATGTTGAACATGTTTTCAAGTTTAACATCTGTTTACATTTCTCCTTCTTTGAATTCTGTTCATGTGTTATGCCCATTTTTTCATTTAATGTTGGAGCTCTATATAGAGTAGAAGATTAACTATTTGTTCCATATATATTGCAAATATTTTCTCTCAAGTTATGATTCTGCTGTTTTCTTTTATGTTGCCTTTGATATTGAAGTTTTATAGAATTTTTACAGAACACTTTTTTTGTGTAGACATATCAAAGTTCTTTTAGAACTTACTTATTTTTATGCTTAACAAAAGTTTTTCTCCAGAGAGATCAGACATATAATTTCCTTTTGTTTTTTCTCATTTACCATGATTTTATGTTTTACATATATGTGTATATCTATAAACATATACATAAATATATCTATATATCTCCTGCTGGTTCTGCTTCTCGGGAGAACTGTGACTACTACACATACTAAAAGTCATGAAAGGGGCACCTGGGTGGCTCAGTCATTAAGCGTTTGCCTTCGGCTCAGGTCATGGTCCCAGGGTCCTGGGATTGAGCCCCACATTGGGCCCCCTGCTCGGCGGGGAGTCTGCTTCTCCCTCTCCCACTCCCCCTGCTTGTGTTCCCTCTCTCGCTGTCTTTCTCTGTCAGATAAATAAATAAAATCTTTAAAAAAAATTTAAGAAAAAGTCATGAAGATGGTCTCCTCTGCTTTCTTGAAAAAAGTTTATTGTATAATCTTTCACACTAAGATCTACAATCTATCTTGAATTGGTATATAATTTTGTCTTTTTAAATTGCATATTAAATTGGTAAATATTCATAAGATATTACTGATAGCATCTTTGCTATGATTTATAATCTTAATAAGGTATTTAAAATGCTTTACCATTAAAACCTGATTTTGTCTATTTTCTTAAAAGAGGATTTTTAAAAAAATTCTATTATGGGACTATCATTGGATTATAACATTACTGAATTGTTTTTGAGATATTCAATTTTACAAAGTGACATTTTAGTCTCTATTGAAATTACATCAATGCTCTCATGATTCTCACTTACCTATTTCTGTAATAAATTACATCAATAAATTTCTCAGATTTAAATTAACATTAATTTCTTGATTTATCATTTTCATTATATTGTTCTGCTAGATCTAATTTTAAGATTCTGATTTAACCTTTATTCATATGTAAG